GGAGAGGCAGACCCAGGTTGCTGTAGCCCTGACAGGCCTTCAACACCAGCAGCCTGCAACGCAGCATCTGACGGGGGCAGCTGAGCTAGTCAGGAGGGTTTCACACAATCCGTTCATGTTCTCACTTGGCTCCTGCACTTCAGCAGTTTGCAGAGCAGGGCCTAAAGGCCAGGCCTGGCTGTCACAGAGTCAGCCCTGGGGCTCAAGCGGGAGCAACTTGTGCTGTGGGGCTGAAGGCCTTAGGGTTCCGGTGCAGCCTGGGGCACGGGTCACTTGCAGGTTTACACTAGTGTCAATGGTGATTCTCTGTAATTTGACGTCTTTAAACCCTGATTTGAGGCCGTCAGTGACTCAGCCAGAGGTTAAGCGTTTATTACAGGAGTAGGTGGGCCAGGTTCTGTGCCCTGTGATGTGCAGGAGGTCAGACCAGATTATCTGAATACTCCCTTCAGAACTTACAGTCTGTGATGGTTCCAACTCTGCTGATGGTGCACAATGGGTGAGGGTCTCTGGCCTGGGTTAGGCAGCTCAGACTGGAATGTGCAAAATGGTCCTTTCTGGCTTTGACATCTGCGAATCTACGTCTCACAACTGCAAACTGACGTCAGGCGGAGCCACCCCAGGGTACGTCTCCCTGGAGATTTCACCTTCTTCCTTTTTCACTCAAGGGAGTGAACACGTTCTAGCTGCTCATTTCCTTTCTGAACTCAGCCTTCGGCTGAACTTTGCCACTGCGGTTCTGAGATCACAAGGCTGGAACATCTGACACCATTAACTGCTTCTCCACTAAACAAATCTGCCTCTAACCGGGCAGTTTGTGTTCTGGATTCAGCCCCTGGACAAGACACAGCTGGGGGCTGGGAGGACGGCGACCTGAGTCTCTTTCCCAGGAAGGGCACTTGACAGGTTAGGAGTCTACAACCTTCTTCCAACAGCAGCCGGGCTCACTCCTGTCACAGTGAGTGTGAAAAATCCCAAGGGAGATTTGTCATGAAAAAATGTTACTGTATGGCAGTGTTTTTCAACCTTTTTGATACCAGGGACTGGCTTGCCACCTTCCTAAACTGTGTCAGGGAGCTCTCAGGGACCGTGTGCACCAGTCTACAGACCGGTCGTTGAGAAGCACTGCCCTAGAGAACATGATAAATGCTGAACATTCCCACTTCACTGGGTCCTGCCACCTGCATGGGGAAGAACAAAGTGTTGGGACCTGTGGAGGAGATGACAGTATGGAGACCCTGGTGTTGCCCACAGACACCTGCCAATCATTAGCCATCCAGGTGCCTGGTCTCAGTTCAGGGATCTGAAGGCTTGAGGCACCAAGCTCCTGGCACAGGACAGGGCACCCTCCCCCCCCGACCTCACTCTAGTTTGACCCTTTGTTGAAGGAGCTGAAGGAGAGCGAGACACTCTGGAGTCGAGTCCTGCAACCTGACCCGACCCCTACAGAGCTCGACTACAAGCCTCAGGGTTGGGTTGGATATTAAACAACCCAACAGTCCTGGGGTGGGTCATCTCTGATTACCTCCTCCTGGCCCATGGGATTGGTGAGTTGACAGCTGTGTGCCCCACCCATCAGCCACCACTTCTCAGCACTAGGTCTGTACCCATGAGTCGCAGCCCCTCTCATTGTGCAGCGCAGGGAGGTGCCAGCGGACAGCAGGGCATATAGCCACTGCTGCTCCAACCCCACAGGCAGGAGGCGGCAGGAGATGGACTGCAGGCACAAGGTGTAGAGATGGGAAGCTCATGTCAGGCCGAATCCCAAGGACGAGGTGGCAGCACTGACATAGGTTCAGGGGAGGCAACCCAGGGAGTGACCGCCCTTTGGGTGCGCAGCGCTTGGGCAGGGAGTGACTGGTGGGCCAGGGTGAGGATCGGGCCCCAGGAGGGAGAACAGGGCTGGAGGGTAATTAGCCCTGGTGACTCTAAGGAGGGAACAAAGTAAAGAAAATGGAGTCTGGGCTGGCAACTACACCCTTGCAGCCCCAAGGGACTAACTACAAGCGTCAGGGTCAGGTATGAAAACAACCTCAGGCTGGGTTTGGATTGTCTGTGGTCTAGTCAGGTTCAGGTCAGGATTTCAAATTAGGCCCAAATTGACCTCAGCTCTGGTGGGAGCCCCATTCTGCCTTCCTCGGCACAGAGCAGGGTCTACAAACACCTCTCCAGAAAGCCCCAAGTGTCAGAGGGACATTAAACAGGGATTCCCAGGCTGACACCAACTCCAGGTGTTTGGATCCAAAGTAATTGCCTTGGTTTGGCATTTTCAGTTGATTAAGTGCAGCAGTGACATAACATCAGATACATTACTTGGGTAGAGGCCTCTGCGTTTGCGGCAGGAGAGGACTGATCTATCTCCAACCACTGTCCTACTAGGCCCCTTTCTGCCCAGAGAGCACGCTCTCCCTCACAAGGCCTCATTCCACTTCGGTCTCCGCTCTAGTCACAGCACAGTGGCACAACGGCTCATAAGGGAGTAAACACCCTGGCTTCAACATTAGCAAAACCCTAGTGAGAAAATCCCAGTGGGGGTTTCTGGGCCATATGGCAGAACTCTCTCCCCAGGTGAAATGCTCCTGCACAAAACACGTGGGTCAGCAAACGTTGGTGATGGAAGCATGACATATGCCCAACTGCTTCTCTTCGCCTAAGACCAGAGGCCCAGAATTACCTGAGGTGTCTGAGTTTGCAGCTGCTGCTCCTCCAGCTGGGGCTGGATAGTCCCCACGGCCGCTTGGCTCAGGGTAGTGACACGGTTAGGCTGCCCCCGCAGAGTCACTGTAATGGTAGTTGGAGCCTTCAAGCCTGGAAGACACAGGAGTGAGGCAAGTCACTGCAACCAGCCAATCTCAGAGCGCATGCTTTACCCCAGGCTTGGTTCTTCTGTTCACAGGAAAAGCAGATCAAACAGACACAACCTCCCCCTCCCCGCCAGCTGCCAGGCAGCTGCTCCCAAACTGCCAGCGACTGGAGATCAGCTGCAGGACAGTACGAACATGGAGTGTGGCAAGGATCACAGTGCCCAGCACAACATACAGCACAGCAAAGCGCTCCAGGCACAATCACTGGCAGTAATATTCAGAGACCTGCACCCAGACCCCATGCACATTTCCTATTAACAGACCACGTGCTGTGTAACGAGGACTTCAGCACGACGTAATGCGAGTTCCAGAGCACGGAGCTGACGGCTGGAATGGCAGACACTAGCTCGGGTGAGCAGACAGGGCAAGGCTGACATTGGCTGGCATCTCTGAGGAACACACAGCCCGCATCCATACCTGGATCTTGGCTCTATGGCGCCTGGAATGCTATGAATTAGGGGACTCGCTGTTCAGAGGCAGCCACCTGGCCCTGTTTGCAAGCCATCCTAAACCATGCGAGGTATAATTCAGCCTGGTATTAAGGAACATGCAAAGGGGACTTCAATCATGCGCATGATGAAGATCGACTCCTACTGGGGAGGAGATGGCTGTTCACGGTCCACGGTGGCGGATCCCCCCTTTACTCCGCGAGGGATGTAAATTCTCTTGCTGGACTCACGAATTCCAATCCCAGCTCTGCCACTGACTCACTGGGACATCTTGGGCAAATCACCTCTTCTCTCTGTGCCTCAGTGTCTCCACAGGGGGAAGCAATAGTTCCCTCCTCGCAGCAGCATCAGGAGGGTAAGTCGGCGTTCACAGAGCACTCTGAACTTCAAACAAGCTTTGTAAATGCGAACTACAGTCCGAAAGGAGATGGGCGGGTGCCTGCATCTCCATCTCACAGCCCCCCACCAGCACTAGCCCCTTACCTGCTGCTTGATTGGAGATCTGAGCCAAGCCAGGAAGGCTGCTGGCCAGCTTGGCCAGCCCACCATTGGTCAGCAACTGGTGAATAGCCGTGGGCTTCCCGCTCCCCGAGGCTCCAAGAGACGACAAGGATGTGGCGACTGGAATGGTGCGGACGATTGTCCCGGTGCCCGTGGTTATGGCACTCAGACTCTGGATAGGTGCCGGTGTCTTCCCAGCTGAGGTCTGCCAAACAAGGCAAGTGCGGTGAGTACCAGAGAAGAAGGGGCAGGATATCCTTCCCTGCTCCCCTACTCTCAAGGGCAGTTCGAGGTCTCAGAGGTCTGGCAGAGTCTTCCCAGCCTTCATCCCAGTAGGCAGCGAGTGCATCTCAGCCCAAGGGTTGATGAAGTTTGGCCCTTTCACCATGGATACCCTGATTTTAAAAGGAAGGGGCAGCCCATGGAGACTAATGGCCCTGACATGCAATAAACCACCTTGATCTGCGTGGAGGCTGCTCAGATAGAGGTGGAGCATTGCAGGGTGGGACCTGAAGTCTCCGCAGGCTGCCCCTGCTAGAGCTAATGGGGTTGCAATCCACTCCACTGTGAGAAGCGAGAGTGGAAGAGGCCCAGCAGGCTCTTCTCACCCACTCCCCGGGGCTCATGCAGGACCATTCCCTACATTACATTTTCTAGTGTTTTGTCCAGTCTAGGTTTCAATGCCTCCTGTGCCAGAACTCCCATTTGCCATGCACCTCATGCTGTCACGCACCCAGCCTCCAGATGGGAGGGCAGGCTGCAGACAGCAGTGGTCCTTGTAGAGAAGGCACCCAACACCCTTGGTCCACAAGTACCCTCCTCCTGACCCAAGCGCCAAACACAAGAGCAGGAGCCTCAACAGAGCTTCTTACCCGCAACAGAGCTCTACTTCATCCATGGCGACAAGGATGCTGTCCTCCCAAGCTCTCTAGATCCAGTTTCCCGCTCTCCAGGAGAGCCAGTGCCTATCTGAAACCCTCCATATCGCTATGGCTGCCTACCTGTATGGACGGCCCCACGGATGCTACGCTCACTGGAAGGGCTGGTGATTTGGTGCCGATGTCCTGCAGGCTGAAGCTCAGTCCCTGCAGCAGGCTGCTAGCGGATGCTGCTCCTGAAAGCAAACAAGGCTGGGGAACAACCTGCCAGGAAGAGCTAGTTTCTCACCCTTGGTGGACTAGCTTCAGCAGGAGGCTGTCCCCTTGAGTTATGCTGTCTCTTGACCTGTGGGAGCCCCTCGGTCCTCCCTATGAGCTATGTCTCCAGTAGGAAAACAACATTCTAGAACACGACCCAACATCTATCAACTCGCATGACTGCAAACAGGATGTGCGCCCAGTGTAGGCAGGGCCAGTCATGTCTAGAACACCAGATAGCGAGCCACTTCCTGGTCCCGTGCAACTGAACTCGGTGGAAATGCTGCCATTAGAGCTGAGCGCATCATTGATTTTTTTATTTCAGAAGCTGAACCAAAAAATCTGACAAAAATGTGGTTTGGTTCAAACTGAAATTGAATTTTGATGGTTTTTCTTATCAAAACAAAATACATCTGGGGTTTGTTTGTTTGTTCTTCACGTTTTTCTGTTTTGCTCCCGGTCATTTTTGGACGTCTTTCACCCTTTTTTAATACTAGCTAAATTATTAAACAAAACACCGTTTCAAAACAAAAAAGCTGAAATGTTCCCCCCCCCATTTCTAGGTTTATACTATTTGCCAAATCTGACCTGAAAGTATCCCCAAAAATGGACTTTTCTGCAAATTTATTATTTGCTGAAACAATGTCACCCGGTCTAGCTGCCCTTGACCTCAATGGAAACAGGGCCTGGCCCCGTGTTCCATCCTCCACCAGGCTCACTTTCCAGCTCCTGAGTAAGCCACTGGCCTCGTCAAACCGCTGGGATAGCCGAGCACTGGGAAAGCTCTCGGCCACTCCCAGGTTAGAGCAAAGGTGCAGGCAGGGAAACACACGACTAATTCCCCAGATCCATCTTGCAGGCATGAAGAAAGAGGCGGGTACCTTGGAGCGTGTTGCTAGGCTGTGCCTGCCTGCAGTGGGCGCTGCTGGCCACCAGCCTGCTCTGCAAGGAATGGAAGGCGCTGGGAGCTGTGCTGCTAGGGATCATGGCTGAGGGGGTAGAGCTGAGGGAGGGGGTTTCCGCCACAGAATTCAGCCTGGAAAACAAACAGAGAAACACGGCAAATGCACTCCAGTAACCAACAAACTCCAAGGGGATGTATTTCCAGGACAAAGATTGCAGCCAGGGGGTCAATTGCAGCCCATAGCTACTCTTCTGGAAGGGCTGGTTGAGGTTGAAAACTGTACTGTGGTGAACTCAAAACAGCAGCAGCGGCTGTGCCTCCATGATGGGAGATAGAAGCACGCACAAACAGAGTAGGATGTCTATTTCTGAAATGAGGGGTGACTGTAGCCCTCTGCCCCCATGCCATACTGACCGGGTGTTATACACAGACAGACTCCACCTTTGGAGTTAAAGGGACTTCTCAATTTAAAACTGTTTTTATTTTCCAGATCCTGACTCCAGTTCCTGGTTAAAGGAAGGGCTGCCGCTCTGAGGCATACAGCAAACCAGAGCAGCACCATGGGAGATGAGAAGACTAAAACAGCATTAGATGCACAGCAAGAACACACACACCCCACCCTGGGGGGGGGAAGGGGGTATTTCAAAGGAGAATTACTTTAAATACTCCTCCAGCCCTGGGGAGCAAGAGTTTGGCAGCAGGCAGGGCTGCCGCACTGGCAGAGACAAGGGCCGGGCTGGGAAGATTCTTTAAGGACAGGAACTGGAGTCCAGGTTAAGACAGAAGATGCAGGGAGAGATAAAGCAGTGCCAGGGTCACAAGAGATCAGGAGGTTTGAATCTATCATTTCAATCTTTGTCTCCATCATATAGAGAGAGATATACCTACCACCGGGACACCCTCCCCGCTACTCCCCTCGCTCTGCCAACACGTCTCAGGACTGCCCTGCAACAAGTCAACACCCACAAGGGGTAGGTGCCAGGAGGTTGGATGTCTCCTGTATCTCAGGATTCAGACTCAGAGCTGGACATCTGACATGTCCTTTCACACTCAAGGTCTGAGGAAGTGGCAAACCCTGGAATCACTGCTCTCTGGAGCCTGGCATCGGCTCAGCTCTCTCAGAGCTCCACAGATTAAAAATAAAATGATACACTCACTTGGGGGTGGTAAGTAATCCCGAGAGCTCCTTCACGCCTGACCCAGACTGGCCTGCGGTCACGGTGGGGAGCTTTCCTGCCACACCTGTGGGAAATAAAGAAAAACAAGAGACGTAAAGCTCTGCCCTATTTCCAGCCTGTGGGGAATCCCCGCGATCACACACGACCCAGTGACACAGAGCAGTGCCGGGGGAACCGAGCTCATCCTGCTGCTCGGAGCACTTTTTAAAGGAAAGCTCCAGTGCAGTCCCAGATATTTTCTAGCACGTTCTAGGAGAGCGAGTCGTTCCAGAAACATCAAACCGAATAGAATCACTAATAAAACCAGGAAGTTGCCATTGCGACAATCTCGTGATGCACAATAGGACTGAGGAAATCAGCTTCAACATTGGAAAACACTGGATACCAGGTGCTCAGCACAGGGATGCAAGCATCTCTGGTGACGTCCACTAATCCGCTTCTACTAATCCTCTCCTTCACTCGCACCCCCACTTCCTCCTTGCCAGATTATTATTATAATACCATTCTACTGCCTCGATGGATCATTGAGCACATGCCGGTTTTCTAGTGGTTGATTTTGTAAGCATTCTATTGAGACACTTTACAAAATACACAGAAAGGCCGGTGAGTTACAATATTTGTTTATTGCGGTGTTTGGGATACAAATGCGTTTGTCCTGTGTATTCCTCCTGCTCACGCACGGTAAGAGGGAATTCTTGTTTGGTTCATGTTTACTTCTGCATTTCATTTTTTTTCTGTGAAAAGAAATAAAGTTTTGAAAATTAAAAAAAAAGTCCAGGAAATCAGAGACTTTCAAAGCTGTTGAAGGTAAGCCACAATATATTCATTAGTTAATTTTCACAGTAAAACCAACTGTTAAATTAACCAAGAAATGTTGCAAAATGGATCGATTTACTTTACAGCTTTGAAAAATCTCTGATTTCCCAGGGCTTTGGAATGGCGTGCTGACCCTTTCAGCTCTACACCGCACACTAATTCTGCTCACTCACAATTACCTTTAAGAGTTATTTTTTGGTGCTCCAAGCAGAAGTCCTAATATGCATCAACCTGGCCTACCACAACAGAGAGTTTCCTTCATGTACCGTGGTTACAATAAGCAAACAAAATTCCTGGCCTCCTCTCCAGTGTTGAAGGGAAACAAAGCTGAACACACTACAGCTCTCTCTGGACTGCAGCTCACCAGGTTGCAACTCATGTCACAGCAGGGTTTTTCTAACCCAGGAGAAGACTGGAGAAGAGTTGGGTTTTGCACATGTACATATAAAAGGTGTATTTGACAGGCCATTGCAATGCCCAAGTGGATCAGCAGAGCAGGAAACTATTCTATACCGAGAATACACAGAGATTCTTCCAGTGGGAGCCAACATCAAATCCCAACATGGCTCTCCCTTTATGGCAGGAGCGGGTCCCGGATGAGATCTTTGCAGAGAGATTCCAACCTGTTTGGGAGTCCTTTGTTGTCACTTCTACAGCATCAGGGTATGAGGGACACTTAAGCAAGCCACAGACTTACAAAACCGAACCAGACCAAGTGTCCCTCAAGACCAGCATCCTGCATCCAGCAATGGCCTGAAGCTTCAGAGGAAAGTGAAGAGACCATCTCCCTCCCAACTCAGTAGATGGTACAATGTCATACATGGAGGGGAAACTCCTTTTTGCCCCCCACACAATCAGCCTTTCACCCTGGCACATGCAATTTGAATGACTCTCTAGAACCGAAGTTTATGCCATAGGCTCTGCTGTGTATCTATTAAGGGACTTCAATCCCCAGCCTTCCCCAAGCATCACTGCGCACCAAGTCGCTGGCACCTGGAACCACTTAGACTGCCTGCCATGTCTAAATCCTTAAAGAAGAAGGTTCCTACTACTTTGGCTCCATCTTTGTCAGCAGTCAACATCCTCATACCCAGAGCTGGCCTGGGACACACCAACTACCTGCTCTCCATGTAAATGTCACTGAATGTAAATGTCTCTGGTTTAAAGAGCAGTTCTGGAACTGGGACTCACTTTCCGGCTGTGCAACGAGGGGCACTCCATTGCCTGTGCCAGCAGCTTCCCCGTGGGAGACAATGGTCACCTTGATTTTGGCTCGCTTGGAGGATTTGCTGCAATGGGTCGGGCTGGGGGTTTGATGTCTCTTCAGCTGCATTCGCACATCTTCTTTCTCAGTCCCTTCTGGCTGCTCTGAGACTGGAACTGGGGGAGACAGAAGCATATATTTGAAACCAATACCTGGTGCCTTGAGCATAATTCCAGCACAGATGATAATGCAATATATACCCAGAGAGGGACACAAACCCATGCATATTCTCCACAGCTTCCTTCATGCTGCCCCCTCCTGCCACCCATACACCAGGACTCAGACTCTAAGGTCAGAAAGGACCATCATGATCATCTACACTGACTCTGGCTGAGTCACTGACGGCCTCAAATTATGGTTTAAAGACATCAAGTTACAGAGAATCACCATTGACACTGGTGTAAACCTGCAAGTGACCCGTGCCCCAGGCTGCACCGGAACCCTAAGGCCTTCAGCCCCACAGCACAAGTTGCTCCCGCTTGAACCCCCGGGCTGACTCTGTGACAGCCAGGCCTGGCCTTTAGGCCCTGCTCTGCAAACTGCTGAAGTGCAGGAGCCAAGTGAGAACATGAACGGATTGTGTGAAACCCTCCTGACTAGCTCAGCTGTCCCCGTCAGATGCTGCGTCGCAGGCTGCTGGTGTTGAAGGCCTGTCAGGGCTACAGCAACCTGGGTCTGCCTCTCCATTTTGTCTTTTGACATAGGGAAATTGCAGGGTGAGGAAGGTGTAACTGGGCAAGGAGGGGGCCTACACCGTGGTCCTTGTGAGACTGAGAGACTTTATGGCCTGCCGGGCTGAGGTTTGGGTTTTACTCAGACTCTTAGAAATCAATTATCTACTGGGCTCCAGCCATATAAAAGGGCAAGACAGTCCAAGTTCCCGTGTGTGTGTGAACGTGGTGCTTCTGGCGGTCAAAAAGGGACACCAAGAGCCCTCAAGCCAGTTGGGAACCACCTCAAGAACTTGGAAAAAAGCAGCAAAGACTGGAGAGAGATCTTGGGTGAGTTTTCAGATCTCTCTGAAAGCCGAGAGAAAGACAAATGATGTTGTTAACATTTTTACAAGGAATCTGCGGAAGAGTCAGGTCTGAGTTTAACTTCAGCTGTTGAGGTAGCTCCTGAAAACTACCATTGGACATAGGAACATGTAGGAAGATGCCCCTCTGAGAATTACAGGTCACTGGCATGGGCTCCTGTAAAGAACCTTCACAACAAATTGGTATTTGATTAAAGGTCTGCCAAAGAGCTGTTTGAAAATAGTGCCCATTATTTACCTGGACCGGAGAGGGCCATATTTACTGCAATATTACAGAGTCTGTCACTGTTTGTGGGCTGAGCAAAGGGACTAGCAGCACGCCAAGGCTTCAGCATTTGGATGATTTGTTTCCTCTGTTTTATATTATTTTCCTTATTCTAATCCTTAAATACAGTGAAAGGCCCTGTTGTGCCAGGTGCTGCACAGACGCTGAGGTGGACACAGGATTTTCAGTATAGAATCTAGATGTTTCAAACTCAGGCTGCTTCCTGGGAGATTTTGGGGGAGGGCCCAGCAAGACCCAGGGAAATGGAAGTTGGTTACTGAGGGCTGGTCTATGTTGCCTTAACTACAAAATTTCACATCCTGTGCAATGTAATTAACCCGCCCGAAGCCCCTGGTGTAGACACCACTAGTCGACAGAAGAGGTGGGTTTACTACGGCGCTGGCAGACCCGCTTCTGTCACTCTAGTGAGTGTGAACATGGCAGCAGCCCAGCTGCAGCGCTGCATCTGTGCCGCTGTAGCATTTCTTGCATAGACATACCCTGAGCCAGCCCACAGAACAACACTTCATACTAAACACGCAAACTTTTCTGCAGAGTCCCCCATGACAGTGACATGGCAGAAGGGGACGGATGAAGCTGCCCTGGGCTCAACTCTAATAGCACGTTTCCAGAATGCCGTGTCGAATTTCCCCCAGCTCCCTTCACCAGTGCTTTCTGCACCCCGTTTTCAACCATGTCCGGGAGGCCTGGCACCTAGGGTACAAGCAGGGAACTCAGGCACGAATGACGTTTGCTGAGGAGACAACCTCAGCTTGTCAGTAGTTGGTGGGAAATTCCTTCTTGACGCCAAATATGGTGACCAATTCGATCCTACGCATTTGGGCAAGACCCACCAGCCAGACACCCGGGGAAGAATTCTCTGTAGTAACTCAGAGCCCTCCCCATCTAGTGTCCCATCACCGGCCACTGGAGAGTCCTCTCTCTCCTTACCACTCACGTCTCTAACCCGATTTCCCCGTGCGTCACAACCTGCTGCATTTAGAATGAGCTCTTCATATTCTAAGGCAGCACAGTCTAAGGACCCTGTCTTTTTCTGCACTGAAGCACAGTGCAGGCTTATCACTCTATGAACCACCGCAGTAATAATGCCCCTTACCGAAGTGTTTTTCATTTCCAAAACACAATGCAAATACCAGCCCCCCATCCCATATCCCCATTTTACCCATGGGGAAACTTGTGGCCCAGAGAGAGGTAAAGTGACTTGTCCAAATTCGCAAAGTCTTTGTCAAAGCTGAGACTAGACCTCAGCTGCTGACTCCCAGTGCTCTGCTCCAGCCGTCCCTGCACTGCAGCGCATATTGCTAGACTCCAACATTCATTGCTTTGCAAGAGTCAGTTCTTTATCGTGTTTCCTGGGTGCTCACCACCACAACTGTGCAGCTCAATCATTCCTGTACGTACCCTCGCAACACCCCTGCAAGGCAGGGTGACACTGTTATCCCCAAGGTACAGATGATGAACTGAGGTCCACAAAGACTAAGGCCCAAATCCTTCAAGGTATTTAGGTGCCTAATTCCCATTGATTTCAGGATTGAGGCTCTGTTCCTAAGTGGCAGGCCCAAGGTGACACAGGGCGTCTATGGCAGAGCTAGATCCCCTGCCTCTGTCCGATATCCTAACCTGTCTGGCCTCACATAGGCAAGCCGAGAATTCCATTTTTCTGCTCAACAGTTCCTTTGTACCTCATCCTCCCGCCCCGCCCCGCCCCAGCACATCTGTTCTGTCCTGAGGCCTACTCTGTAAATTCTCTGGAGCACACACCACCGCTCCTAGCAAAATGGGACCCTCATCATGCCTGGTACCCTGGGCACTAGGGGAACAGAAGTGATAATTAACCACAAGACCATCCTTCCTCAGGACCACATCTTGCCCATTTGTATTCCACTGTTGATCTGTAACTGCATAATCTCAATTTGGAACCCTGGAGTTCATGGCTTGCACCATGGTGTCCATCTCTTCACTGGAGAAGTAAGCCTGGTGCAGGAGAACGAGCCAGGGTGATGAAATGAAGGCCGGCCTTCCAATGCAAAAGGTGCAATTCTACAGTGCTCAGAAAGGGAATTCCCACCACACCTGGTCTCAGTCCACGCTGGGCTAAGGGGCGATAGGAGTAAGGTACATGATACCAACCCTTTGCAAGCACTTTGGAGGACAGGATTAGAACTCAGAATGACCTGGACAAATTAGAGAAATGGTCTGAAATCAGCAAGATGAAACTCAATAAAGACAAGAGCAAAGTACTGCACATAGGAAGGAAAAATCAAATGCACAACTAGAAAACGGAGAATAACTGGCTAGCTCATAGTACTGCTCAAAAGGATCTGCGGGTCACTGTGGATCACAAACTGAATATGAGCCAACAATGCGATGCAGTGGTGAAAAAGGCTACTATCATTCTGGGGTGCATTAGCAGGAATGTGGTATGTAAGACATGGGAGGTAATTGTCCCGCTCCACTGAGCACTGGTGAGGCTGCAGCTGGAGTACTATGACCAGTTCTGGGCGCTGCACTTGAAGAACGATGTGGATAAACTGGAGAGAGTCCAGAGGAGAGCACCAGACATGATAAAAGATGTAGGAAACCTGACCTGTGAGGAGAGGTTACAAAAACTGGAGACATTGAGTCAGTCTTGAGAAAGGAAGACTGAGGAGAGACCTGAGAACAGTCTCAAATACATTAAGGGCTGTTATAAAGATGACACTGATCAACTGTTCTCCATGTTCACTGAAGGCAGAACAAGTAGTAATAGACTTAATCTGCAGTAAGCAAGATTTAGGTTAGAGATTAGGAAAAACTTTCTAACTCTGAGGGGAGTTAAGCTCTGGAACAGGCTTCCAAAGGAGGTTGCAGAATCCTCATCACAGCAGGTTTTTAAGAACAGGTGGGCAAACACCTGTCAGGTTTGGTCTAGGTTTACTTGGCCCTGCCTTAGCACAGGGGGCAGGACTAGGTGACCTGTCACGGTCCCTTCCAGCCCTGCAGTTCTAAATTCAAGAATATACAAAACCTGCAAAAAGTCACTGAGGTAGTTAATTCCTTCTCCTATGGGGGTGGCGGAGGAGGGGCGGGTGTGTAGAAGAAACAGTCTGTCCTTGGGGTCCAAGTTCCTTACTGAAAGCCTTCATCCTCCTGGAGATAAATGACACCACTTTGCAGGAGCAGGTCCCCTGACCTACTGCTGGGGGAGAGTGCAGTTGAACCACTTTACTGCTAGGCATTTATTTGCTGGCACTGCTCTAACCCAATGCAAGCATCAATGCATTATTATCTTAGCACCTGCACCCAGGGTCCTGCTTTGAGGGAGCAAGGTGGGGTGCTGACTGCTAACAGACGTGCAAAGCTTAAATACCTTCCCCAGCACTGTGAACATGTCCAGTGAATGGAACTACCCAGAGAGTTTCTGATCACCTATGCAAAGAGATTACAGGCATCAGTTCCGCTGTGAAAGCCCCTGAGACCGCCTGAGCATCAACCGCACCACACAGCGCCATCAGCTGGGCAGCACCATGAAATGGCACCTGCAGGGGGAAGTGATGCTACTACTCCTCAAAGCATCCATGATAGTCTGTAGGAACCAGTGATCAAACACCCGCCCTTGCATTCTGCACGATCAAAGCCTCCTTCATTACATGGTTACTGTGGCGCACACAGACTCCTGTTCTCACAACAGATGGGAAGAGCTCCCTGTGTGCTCAGGCTTAACCCCCAGGCACCAGCTCTCTGAGCTATAGTTAGACATACCTATTGCTCCCACTTCACCATGGCTTCCCACCACGCTGCTCTCCTGCAGCCAGGCTGAATTGCTCTCCTCAGCCCCACTGACGCAGAAGCAGCCGGGCTGAAAGACAGTGTGACCAGCCCTGGGTTCACACTAGCTACTGTAAAAAGTAGCTGTCTGGATATGTGGAC